CATCTGTTCTTTACTGTCAGAAGCATTTTGTCTGTCATTAATTCTTCTCTCTCTCCCTCTTTTTGGTACAGATAGGTCTTTCTGTATTCCTCCTTGGCTATGAGCCAGAACAGACCAGCTCTAAAAGTTGCTGTCTGGCCAGCTTGGGAGCATGGCATTTATAAACTGCATGCCCCCATGCTGCCCTGAAGCTTCCGAGAAGTCAGGAAGCTGTGGCTGTCTTCAAGATGCTGCAGGGGTGTAGCATTTACATGCCACACATCACCGCAGCATCTGGAAGCTGGCTTTGGGCTGCAGCAGGGTGGGAAAAGCCAACCTTTCCCTGGCCAATCTTTTCTGCTCCTTTTTTGGCTGGGGAAAAGGTGGATTGGGGCTGCGGCATGTGTTCACCACAGTCCCAATCCATCTTCAGAAGGGGCAGTTTCAAGCCACCCCTTCCACCTATCTATTGTGCCCCTACGTTCCCAGCTTCCATCCATAATCCGTCTGGCTCCCAGTCAATCAGGCTTAATAGTGCAAATCTATTTTTCACATTATCTTTAAATTCTGCTGGGATGTTCTTCAGAGCGTACGTTGGCATGTTGTTTGATTTAGAGTAGGCGAACCTACTCTATTTTTTCAGAGGTGGTTTGCCACTGCCTTCCTCTGAACCTGAGAGAGTATGATTTGCCCAAAGTTAGCCAGAGAGCTTCCATGGCTGAACGGGGATTTGAACCTTGGTCTCCTGGAGTCATTGTCCAATGTTCAAACCACTATACCAAACTGCCTCTCAGAATTTAGAAGTATTAAGAAAGAAATCAAAATTTCTCCAGATGTGAACCAGGGTCAACAAAACCCTTTATCCAAAAAATGGTAAGATGTTTGTTGTATTATTTTTTCACATTGATCAGCTATAAATATAGAACTTGGTCCATAGCTCTCCTTTTTAGGACTGTAGACACACACATGTCAAGAACATTCAGTCCACTGGAGCCACTGACACTCAGCAGTTTCATTTTGCAGACATTATGGTAATGTTTGCTTCCTGAATTTGTTTTCTGTGGGTTCACATTCCCTGAGCTGACATTGGGTTTTGAGCATAAATGGGATGGTCTCCACAGAAAACAATATCCTTGCCATGTTTTCCACCAGAAATCATTAGACTCTGCAGGACACTGCCTTTTCCAAAAGCAATTTTGCTTGAGACCTTGCCGACAATTGGCTCTGTTTTGTTACCATAATAAACTCATTAGGAAAACTTGGGTCAGATTCTGGAGTCAAGCTCTCACCAGGTTTGGGTTTCTGATGGTATGTTTCATGCCACTGTGCTATTATTAACTGCTTATTTGCAAAGGATAAAAATTTTTGACGCCCAGTGTATTCTGTGCCTGAGGGATCCATTAAAAAAGAATACTTTCTCTACAATAATCAGAGAGGACAAGGGGCCAGGATCTCACCTAGGAAATACAAGAAAAGGATCTTATGTATTTTTTCTCTCTGTGTACCAGGATGGTTGCTAGTCAGATGAAGGATTGACTTGCTTCCTTTGGGCTGTTCTCCAGTGGTACCCTGCAGATGGTCAGTAGCACCTGAGTTCTTCCACTTCTACAAGCACAGAATGACAGAAAAACTAGGGATGGGGATCCCACTTGGTCATTAAGCTTGCAGAATAGACTATTCTGGAAATCCAAACTGCTAGACATAGCACAAGGACAACAGAGACAGGGGTAAAAACCTGAGACTCTTGCTTATTTTGGTTCTAACATGTTATGTATGGAAAGCAAAGATGCTAAAAGGAAATGCGCTTAGATTTTTCAATGGCTACTGCTCTGTCTCCAGGCACAATTAAAGTTCCTGTTATGAACAAAAAAGCTCTATACAGCTTGGGTCTAGATACCAGAAAGGCCATATCTCATTGTGACCCCACATGAGTTTTAAGGCCATCAGGGGAGAGTCTTTCTTTTGGTCCCACCACCAACACAGGAATATTTGGCAAGGACTCAGGAGAGGGCTTTCTTGGTAGCTGCTCTCAGATTGGTAATCTCAGTTGGCCCATTTGCTCTCTTTCTCCTCACAGGCAAAGACCCATTTCTTATTTAGACAGGTCTTTGGTTGTCAACTGGTGGTTGCAGAAGGGTCTTTTAATGGAGGCTCTGTACGTTTATCTTCAATGTGTTTTAAATACTTTTAAAAACTATTTTAATTCCTGTTTTTAACAGAATTGCTTGCTTATTTTTTTTCTTTTGTAGTTTAAACTGTTTTAGGTGTATTTTGTTTTTCTCTCCCATTGTTTTATGTTGTAAGCTACCTTGGGTCCCATGCAGTGAAAGGCAGGCTATTAAATAAATAAATAAATAAATAAATAAATAAAGTTCTCTCTATGGGTAATCCTACTGCTACAAGTGACTTTATTCTATTGATGAAAGAATGTCAATAGCTAAGGGAAGCAACCAGTTAGACACTTGCTTTTTGATAACTGTATTATTGAGGATTTTCTAACTAGGGGAGAGCATTCAGTGAATGGGCACAATTCCCTATCTTCCAGTAGAGGATGGGAGAGAAAATTTTTAGAGGCTAAACTCTTCTGGCAGGTTCGACATGGCAGAAACAAATAATGGCCATCCTTTGGGGTCCCTTCACACAATACATTTGCAGCACTATGATTCCACTTTAAGTGTCATGAAAATATCTTATGGAATCCTGAGGTCTGCAGCTTGGTATGGCACTAGAGTTCCCTCCCTAAACTAGAAATCACAAAGTTCTATAGCAGGGGTAGGCAACCTAAGGCCTGGGGGCCGGATGCGGCTCTCCGAGGCCTTTGTACTGGCCCCAGGCCGGTCCTGCCACCCCCCGCAGCCCCCCCACCATGATGATATTGATTATTGTTGTTATTACTTGTTCTTGGGGTTTTCTTAGCAAAATCTCCACAGGGGGGGTTGCCATGGCTTTTCTGGGGCTGAGAGAGTGTGCATGCATATTTTTAATTGTATTTATTTATTTATTTATTTATTTATTTATTTATGGTGCTTCACCCCCCCAATTGTTTGAGGGACAGCAATCCGGCCCCCGGCCTACCCCTGTTCTATAGGATGGTACCATGCCAGTTAAAGTGGAATTATATCATGTTGTCTGAATGGGCCCTTGGAGTGTTTAAGCTGTGCCTCTGACATTGTTCAACCAACCTGTTTACCACACCCTTCAAATATTCCAAAACACTAGTATGCACCCAGTGTGACCTCCTTTAAAAGGAAACAATGCTCAAGTAAATGTTGAATCTCTGGGATGAGTGTAATCATATAAAAGGAATATCTTCCAACAGTGAATGGTTGCTTTTGTTTATGAAGGTCTGTCTTCTATATTCAAATAAGTGAGTTATAATGAGGTTTTTGAACTAAGCTTATTTAAATTTAATTCTTTGGTTCATCAATTAACCAGCTTAAAAAAAAAGTGGTTGACATAACTCTAATAATAGGACAAGGGCAAGCTAATAATAGGGCAAGCTATAAGAGAAACAGCAAGAGGAGACTATAGCAAAAGAATGAAAGCACAGCAGTCCAGGACTCTGACAAGACTGTTCCTTGTTTCCCTGTTGGGGCAAATAAAAATGTGAGGAAACTATTTCCAGAAGAAATATTTATAGAAATTGTGTGTCAAGACAAACCAGATAAAATATGGGAGGTATCTTCAACTATGGTGCCCCATTTGTGGAAAGTCCTCTCTTTGGATGCTGATGTTGCGCTTATATTGACACGGTGGCTCTTCACCCAAGCTTTTGGGCCCAGTGACCATTGCTTAGCAAATGCAGGGTGGTAGTGGTGGTATTCTCTATTATTTTAGTCCTCTAAAATACAGAATCAAACTTTGATTTTGGGAATCTAAAACCCAACAGCAATAGTCTTCTCTTTGTTGAAAAATGTCTTACTCTGCAATTGCTCTTTACTATAATGAGATCCTTTTAATGCCTCTGGCCTTTACTTCAAAATCCCATTGAAATTTTTATGAGTAATTTTCTGCTCACAGCTGTTTAAAAAAACTTTTCCTTGGTACTTAGTGGTTTAATTATTTCTCCTTTTTTGGTGCTTTTATTTGTTTGTCTGTTTGCAACCTTTTTATGCATATAGGTTTGGGCAGCTCCCCTCCATAGTGTTATCCGTTTATATGTACCAACATAATCATCTTATTCTTTGCTATTTTTAAAGCAATTGCATTTAGATGAAAATGATGTTTAAAAGGGCTGCAACAGCAGCAGCATGCTAATCAGAGACGGAGACATTATTTAATCATCTAAATGTGTTCTTGAATGAAGCACAAATTCTTTGATATCTGAGCTGCTTAACACAGCCCATATTGGCAATACTACTTGGTGCCGTTCTCTTCTAATGCCACCTGCTTCCATCCAAAGAAAAACTGCATTGAATTAACTCTTGCCAGAATGTAATGCAAACAAATAGCAGGAGCAGAATGAACAAAGAAAATTACATCTGGTCCCCTGGGCTTCTTCCTGTAATCTACAGGAAAGCTTCCAGCTAGAGACCTCAATTATTTGCTTTTTTCAGCCTTTCTGCATTCTGTTTTCATTACAGTTAGGAAAAATGATTTAAGGAAACTGTAATCCAAGTATATTTTGAAGGCACACAATGTTGCAAACATGTTGAAGCTAACCAGATTTGGCTCTAGTTTGTACAAGGATGGATGACTATCTGGGAAACCTATGTGCACTACCCTGCGTTCCGCCATGAAAGAAAGATGACCATAAATGCAAATAGTAGTAGTAGCAGCAGTAATCTTCTGAATGGTGAGGAATAATAATAATAATAATAATAATAATAATAATAATAATTTTCTTGTCTGCTTCTCCCCATGGATCGAGGTGGGGAACAACAACAGACAACAAATATGTATCAGTTCAAACGCAACTTCAAGTTAAAACATACATCATTTTAAAAGAACAAACAAGACACATACATATTAAAACAACCCACATTTAAAATTCATCATTTAAAATTTACAGTTTTAAAAATCTGCCTGCCAGAAGAGATTAGTCTTCAATGCTGTTTTAAATTAAGAGTATTCAGAGTATAAAGCAGCTTCATGTATATACTGCTTCATATTGTGCTATGGGATTTCTAAGCAGTTTACAACTGTAAGCTCATTGCCCCCCAACAGCTGAGTACTCATTTTAGCAACCTCGGAAGGATGCAGGCCTGAGTCTAGCTTGAGCCCTGGCTAGTATTGAACTCGCAAACTTGTGGTTTATGAGTGAGTGGCTGCAGTACAAGCATTTAACCACTATGCCACCAACAGTCATTCCACAGTCTAAGGGCAGCTGCAAAAAAAGGTCCTTTGCCTACCTAGTCCTGGCTATCTGAAGTAACCGTCAACCAGAGGACCTGAGTGTATGGGGTAGATTATATGGGAGGAGGGGATCCTTATGTAACCTGGACCCAAACCATGTAGAACTTTAAATATGATAACCAATACTTTGTACCTTGTCCAGCGTTTGCCCTGCTTAGAAACTGTGGTGATATAGCTTTTTCTAACTCCTAGTAAACAGACATTTACTCTACTAGATCTGTAATTAGTTCATTCATTTATCATTGGAGATTATCTCATGGTTCTTCAATACTAGGATAGAAAGGATTGATACAGTAATCGATGGATCTTATCGTACCACATTGTGGCTAGGCAGCAGGTATCCTGAGTCAATACATGCTTCTGCCACTGCTTTTAATGAATGGGAAAATCCCGTAAATAGCTGCCAATTCTGCAGTTAGCCTATTATTGAAAT